TTCTTTACATTTAAACATTATTTCAAAAGAATTTTAAACTTGATGTTATAAATTGCTTTGAAATTTGCTTTGAAAAACATATTATCACATCCTAACCTATAAATATGTTATATGTATAAGAAAAACTATAACGAAATAACACACAATTGAATTTAAAAATATATCAATATGATCAAGACCGAATTTATGAATTTTTCTCATTATAAATGTAAAAGATTTTGATGTTTTTCAATGAAATAACACCATGGCACCATGTCAAAGTAAAAGAATATAAATCTTATAAAGATCGATAATTTAATATAAATTTAATCTCGGATATTCAAGATGAGTACAGAAGCACAAGTTACAAACGTTAAAACTCTTTTGCTGCATCATAAACGACTTTTTTCACCAACATTTAATGCACCGTTTTCAGTGACGCGTTCATATTTGACAATTGTCAAGAAAGTGAGGTTGGGTTGGCATTACCAGCAAAGATTCCCAGTACGACGTACCAGTATTATACTTGTATCGTACAAGTATGTTGTGCTTCTTATTTCAGAAGTACGACGTACTGGTATTGTACTAGTACTATACTTTTATCGAGTAATCATATTTTACAATTCTAACAGTACGACATACTTTTATTGTACTAGTACCGTACTGGTACGACATATATAATTATTTTGTACTGGTATAAAACTAGTATAATACTAGTACGCCGTACTCGTAAATAACGATTAGTACGCTTGGTTATCTGGGTATATATATAAAAGATTATTCTTTTAATGTGAAAAATTTTTATTACATTCAAACGCTAAAATGATCAATTTTTCTTCGTTATTAAATTCTGTTGTTCCTAACTATGTTTTTGTCAAGTATTATGATGTGATAAAAAAATATATGAGATAGAAAAAAAAAAAGAAGTAAAATATTGACATAATTGACCAACAATGATGGATTAATTATTATCGTTTTATTATATTAAAAGAGGTGGAAAAAGCTATTGTTATATACCCTTCACCATAAAAAGAAACGAAAAATATTTTCACCTGAAATACTTTCTCGCAATAATAAAAGATTCTTGCATGTAACAGCGCATGTACTCATTATTATTATTTCTTCTATATACGTGCTATACAATGCCTCTTGATAATATACCATATAATATATCTTTACTAGAGATCACACACATATAATATAAAGATACATCTCGTGGATTCTATATAATTGTACCCAGGAGGGTTGGAAAACAATTCTTTCAAAAAAAAAAAATAATTAAAAAACTGTTACTTTTTTTTAATACTAAAAGATAAATATCACATTAAAAATTAACGATGACAAATTAATTGCCTGCTTAAAGATTTATGAACTTTATATTTAATTTTTTTTTATGCAACAAATAAAATAATAGAGATGAAATTATAGATCTCTTATTTTAGCAAATTACACTGAAAAAAGGGTTTGGTATTGACAACCAAACGTTTGGTTGGTATTTAAGCAACCAAATTTTTTTTTGTTGAATCAACAAAATTTTAATTGTCTCAATCAAAATTTGTTTGACACAACCAAAATTAGAAAAAAAGGATTTTTGTTGTCCTTAACTAAAGTTTGATTGGGACCACCAAAATTTTGTTGATTCAACAAAAAAAATTTGGTTGCTTAAATACCAACCAAACGTTTGGTTGTCAATACCAAACACCTTTTTTCAGTGTATTAAAATTAATTTAATAGTTTTTTATATATTTTATATTTATCCTTTTGAATGAATGTTTTATGTATCAGATAAATATCTGTCTATTCAAGAGAGTGGCATAAATTTTACCGAAAGATAAATTATTCGTTCAAAAATAACTGTTGCATATCTGTTGTATATCAGTGTCATAACTAAACTTGATGTCCTACATTATAAATGATTTATAAATGTTTCATCTTTGTAAGATAATGGTTATTGAATTATTGTCATTTCGTCATAAAATTTAAATAATATTTTTTTTCCATATTGGTTTTCAAAAAAAAAATTTCCCTGAGCGATGTGACGATATATTAAGAATTATTTTCTAAAAATAAAAAACGGTTCATTTGAGTCAGATTATTTTTAAAAAATTTTAAGGAAGCGATATGAAAAAAAATTTTATATGCAAAATGAATAAAATAATGTTTATAAGTTTAAAATTATTTTCATTGAAAATTGGTATATATGTTCTTCCAATGGATATCTTCTATTATATTAAGTTAACAAATTTCCAATAGCGATACTGAAAAATTTATTTACACTTATTTTCAAATAAATCAAAATTCTTTGTAATATGCCTTTATAGAAAATCTTACATAATTTACCGTTTCAACATGTTTTTTGCAATTTTAGCCCCAAAAAAAGGATTATTTTGCAATTTTTTCGAATTTTTGAATATATACCTATAAAATTACTCTTCTTTTGAAAATTTACTCAAAACAATTTTTGTTTAAAATCAAAAATATTTTTTAGCAATTTTTTAATTTTTTTTTTGCAATTTATTTATCTTTTTCAAGAATTAAAAATGTTCTATCATTATTAATAATTCGCAGATATTTTCAAAGAATATTAATAAATAAATAAAAGAAAGTGAAAAACTGCAATATAAATTAAGTTGATTGACATCAATTTCTCTGAATTATTATTGAAATACTAGCAAAATTAAACGCGCGCAAGCGTGCTAAATTGAGTATTTAATTGTTTGTTATAAAGAAATTAAAGATTAATATTATTAATAATAATTTAGTTTATTAGAATATTATTACATATTAAATGATAATAATGAAAATTATATGTTTACAGGCCTCGGATTATACGACTTTTTCCGACTTTTTTCAAAAATACGACTTTTATCGACTTATTTTAATAAAATGCGACATTTTTTTTTACATTTGAAAAAAAATGTAAATAAAATACATTTTTTTAGTATAAAATGTAGATCTTCTTCAGATCTTCTTCAATTCAATTATTTAACAAATTTTGAACTAAAATGATTCTTCACTAAATTCATTATTTTTAATAATTTTAATGAAATACATCACAAATTCAATTATATTAAAATTATTTTTTCAATTAAAATTTTTATGAAATTTAACAATTGTTTATAATTTTAAAAAAATATCACAATAAAATTGAATTATTTTTTAAAAATTTCAATTCAAAATAAACTAAAATTCAATTATTACCCGAAATTTTAATTCAAAATCAATTAAAAATCCAAAAATTATCCAAAATTTTCAATTTAAAATTTAATTATTTACCAAGTTTTCAATTTAAAATGAAATAAAATTCAATTATTTTCTAAAATTTCTATTCAAAATTAATTATCCAAATTTTCAATCAAAAATGAACTTAAATTAAATTATTATCCAAAATTTCAATTAAAATTCAATTATTTCACAAAATTTTCAATTTAAAAAGAACTGAAATGCAATTATTTTCCAAATGTAAAATCAAATAAAATTTAATTATTCTCAAAAATTTGAATTCAAAATTAATTGAATTTTCAATAATTTGAATTTAAAAGCATCTAAAATTTAATTATTTCTAAAATTTTCCATCGAAAATTTTTTTTTTTTTGAAATTTAATAATTTCAATTATAACTCTAAGGAAATTCAATTATTTTTAACTATTTTAATAATATTCTTTGAAATTTCAACTATCTGAAACCATTTTTCAATTAAAAATGATTTTCAAATTATTGTATTTTGTCCGCATTTTCTAATAAATTTTTAGTGAATTTTTAGTCAGATTATTTTTAAAAAATTTTAAGGAAGCGATATAAAAAAAATTTTATATGAAAAATGAATAAAATAATGTTTGTAAGTTTAAAATTACTTTCTTTGAAAACTGGTATATATGTTCTTCCAATGGATATCTTCTATTATATTAAGTTAACAAATTTCCAATAGCGATACTGAAAAATTTATTTACACTTATTTTCAAATAAATCAAAATCCTTTGTAATATATGCCTTTAGAAAATCTTACAATATTTTACCGTTTCAACATGTTTTTTTTTTTGCAATTTTAGCCCTAAAAAAGTATTATTTTGCAATTTTTTCGAATTTTTGAATACCTATAAAATTACTCTTCTTTTGAAAAGTTACTCAAAACAATTTTTGTTTAAAATCAAAAATTTTTATTTCTCGATTTTTAATTAAAAAAATATTTTTTAATTTTTTTTTTTGCAATTTATTTGTTTTTCAAGAAAATTAAAAATGTTCTATCATTAATAATTCGCAGATATTTTCAAAGAATATTAATAAATAAAAGAAAGTGAAAAACTGCAATAAATGAAGTTGATTGACATCAATTTCTCTAAATTATTATTGAAATATTGGAATGAATATTCTAGTTAAAAAACATTGTGAGAATAATTTCTCATAACCTTTCAACAAAAAGTATCATGTTTCTTGATTTATTTAAAAATTATTTATATTTGCTTATAATAAATAAATAACTTAAAAAAAAAACAATTAGATTAAAATTTTCCGAGTCGTAAAATCTTACAGGTAAATAAAAATTTTTTAAAATTAAATCACTGTTTTACAAATTTAATATAAATTAATAAAAAAATTTGTCATTCTTATATTAAACCTATATATTTGATACTAAAATCTGTTTTGATCAAGTTACATAATAACAAACTTTCAGTTTATTACAAAGTTTACTGAAAATTTAATACACACTATAAACAGCTCTCAATTTTCCAACAGTCATTTCCCTTTAAAATAACAGAGAATAATAATTTCTCTTAAATTACTCTATAGATATAACTGAGATCTATATATATTTTTTGCCAAATATCATCATGATTATAATAAATAGAGATTAAATTATTTTGATAAAAAAAAAATTCCATGCCATCGTGCCTGAGAAATTCATGCGGCACGCAGCTGATCGTGCATCAAGTGTTGACACGTTTTTCTCTTTATCTCCCTCTCTCTTTCTCTCTCTATATATATATATATATATATTTCTGAAAAAAGAACGCGAAACTTACCGGTTCTTTTTGTCTTGGAGTGACCGTAAAATCGACTCAAGTCGATGGCCAAAACGGTTCGGGGAAGTTCGACGTAGACCGTAAGGGCGAGGCCGATCGCCAGAGTGGTGTACAAGGCACGAACCATTCTGGTCCGATTTAGGAAGGATCGATCTTCTTAATTTTGTCCCTCCCACCCCGCCCTCGCGCTGGCCAACACGGACTTTCGCACTCCGTCTTTATAATTTTCGTTTTTTCTTGCGGTCTAAACTTGGGGACACTTCGGGACGCGAACAGCACCCGATGACGACTCCCTCGATGCCAAGGAGAGAGTCGATGTGAACGACGTTGCGGCGCAGGGGTGACGCGAAACCGAATTGCTTTCGTTTGCGCCACTTTTGCGCCTTGCAAAGCGCGTGACACGCGAGAGAGAGAGACGAGAATGTAGGAAAAAAAAAAATCGCGCTGAGCTTTCGCATATATATATACAGTAAAGTCCGACAGCTGATATACGTCGTGAGTGTGGGAGTATATAATAATTTATCCACAAACTGCAAATCCAATTTCAAGTGGATCAAGTCAATGGTTATTGAAATACAAGTGCTCTCTTGGAATGCCAATAGCCAACAAATATTATTAACTACATATAGTTTAGGGGAGAGTGGGGCAAAACGGGGTACCTTTTTGGAATTCTCGGTTTACAAAAGAATCTATCAAATAAATTAGTTCAAATGTCGTTGAAAGTTCTTCCTTGAACATTAGAGAATAAGGTCGATTGCATGAAAAAAATTTTTTTGATCAATTGAAACCAGCTTTTTCAAAAAAAAATGCAAAGTACCCCGTTTTGCATCGATGATGGGGCAAAACCGGGTACCATCAAGAAAATATATAAATCATGGAATATTCTTTAACTTTTTGTTCAATTATTATTATATATAACTTACATTATAGAAAATAATCTTTATTCAATAAATTTAATCTAAATATATTATATTAATAATTACACAGGCACACAAAAAAAAAGTGGTGTGTCCGAGACACTACAGTAGTATATTCCCATGTATTTTTCGCCTCTGAATCCGAATCCGAAGTCGGAATAGTCAGATTGGCTCTTGTTTTTGAGTTATACTCAAAAAACGACTCAAAAAAACTAATTAAAAGAAAAAAAATTTTTTTATGTCACTACACTAGTATATTTCCATGTATTTTTTCCCGCTGAATCCGAATTCAAAGCAAGAAATGTCAAATTGGCTCAAAATTTTGAGATAAACTCAAAAAACTGATCAAAAACAGTGATTTAAAATCAAAAAGTTTTTTGAATTTATCTCAAAAGCTTGAGCCAATTTGACATTTCTGGCTTCGAATTCGGATTCAGCGAGAAAAAATACGTGTGTTGGCCAAAAAAAATTTCTTTTTTTTTTTATTTTAACTAATTTTTTGAGCAGTTTTTTTAGTTTATCTCAAAAGTTTGAGCCAATTTGACATTTCTGGCTTCGAATTCGGATTTAGCGGGAAAAAATACATAGAAATATATTAATGTAGTGACAAAAAAAATTTTTTTGTCTTTTTATTTTAAATAGTTTTTTTGAGTCGTTTTTTGAGTATAACTCAAAAACAAGAGCCAATCTGACTATTTCGACTTCGCATTCGGATTCATCGGTGAAAAATACATGGGAATATACTACTGTAGTGTCTCGGCCAAACCACTTTTTTTTGTGTGCCTGTGCACCTTAAAAAAAGTAATTTTCATTCTAGAGGATTCCTCTAAATGTAATGCATATTTTCCTCTTAATTTTGGTATCAAAAGTAATAATCTTAATTTAGAAGGATTTTCCTCTCGAAAAAATCCTCTTAAAAGAAGAATAATATTCTAATATTTTGACAAGTTGAAAATAACCGTAATACACAGGTTTTGAATAAATTATTAGACAATAATGGTTATGTATTGATAATAAAGTACAGTTTTGACACATTGAATTAAATGTTGATATCAAAACCTCAACAAAAAAAATTCCTAGTGTTATTAATATCAAGAGAACCAATAATTTTTTTAAATTTGAATAATATAATAAATATTTAATAAGATTTAATTATTTACATTCAAAAAAGGTAAATTATAATAGATTCCTGGAATAAAGAATGAAATATTGGTTTTTAATTAAATATTTCTGAAAAATATTTCTTGCTTTTTGCTGAGCATCAATACATTAGATTTAATTACAATAATAATAAAAAATGCTATAGCTAGTTGCAAATATCAAAGAAGTTCGACGCAAATATTTAAGAAAATTGGTAAGAAATGAAGATTCATCGAGAGGTTATATTTTCTGTATTTATACCTCCATTCAATATATCCACCCAGATTTAAATCATTTAGTAAATCTTCGACTCTCTTTTCCATTTTGGTCTTTCGATTTATAACACAACACTATTATGACATACGAAAATTGACAGTTTCGAAAAACAAAAGCGCAAATGTCAAACAGGAAAAAAATGTAATCGATATCATGTATTTACTTTTCCTTTTTTCAAATATACTAAATTTAAACAGGAAAATCGTAATTGAAGAGGAAAATGCAAAATTACTCCTTTTGTCATTGTTCCATTACAACAAAGAATAAAAATATTCTACAGTCAAATGGAATATTCGTATTTTAAGAGGAAATATTCAGAGGATTTTAGAAGAGGAATTTTCCTCTAAATTTAAGATTACTTTTTTTTGGGTGTGTAATGAATAACAGCAGTTAAATCTTTTAAATCTTTTAATTTTATCGTTTATTTATCGATATGGTAAATAAATGATATATCGAAAGTTAAACATCAATTTCGAAACATACATGTCGATTCATTTGAGATAAAATTTAAATATGTATAGTGTAATGCATTTAAATATATCCGATTTTGCCCCACCGTCTGGTACACGGTTTTGCCCCGAACTGCATTTTTTAACAAAATGTAAAATTCTCAGCTTATTGTTAATAATTTAACAATTAATTTTAATGAAAATTACTTGTAAATAAATGCTGAAAAAGATGTAATACTTGCCGAAACGAATATATCGACACAAAATGTTTTTTATAAGTGATTTACTTTCGATAAAAAATCGATTTTCTTTTGACCTAAAATTTAAAAGTCGCATAAAATATAATAAATAAATTTTTATATACTGGTTATGTAATTAAAATGATATTAGTTGTAATATAAAAGATATATGTAATATAGGTGACACAAATGGAAATACCTATCATGGAAAACTGGGGGTACCCCGTTTGACCCGCCTATCCCGTTTTGCCCCACTCTCCCCTTCACAGTTTTCCTAAAAGTATCAAATTGAGACCAAAAATTGTATCAAATCTTTGCAACGTTTTGATGCACATAAGTTATATCAAAAAGAGATCGTTTTGTGTATAATTTTTAGAAATGATAAACGAAACGGTCTCATTTTTTGATGCAAAAAATTTAATCAATTTATATCAATCATGACCGAATTGAATCGACTCAAAATTAAACGAATTTTTTCAGATATTTTGGTAATAGTACAATTGCGGAGACCATTTCACTATTTAATTTGAAAATGAAAATAACAGAAAATCAAAGACAACGTGCAATTCGATAATTAAAAAGTGACAGCTTATAAACATAACCTAAAATGCATGAGAAAAAATTTGTCGATAAAATCAATATAGCCGAGCTTTTTAGAAGGTAGATGGCAATTTTGCTTTTTATGAAAACGATTCAGAAAAAATTTAAAGAAAGAAAATAGATGAGTGCTGCCATCTACCTTCTAAAAAGCTCGGCTATATTGATTTTATCGACAAATTTTTTCTCATGCATTTTAGGTTATGTTCATAAGCTGTCACTTTTTAATTATCGAATTGCACATTGTCTTTGATTTTCTGTTATTTTCATTTTCAAATTAAATAGTGAAATGGTCTCCGCAATTGTACTATTACCAAAATATCTGAAAAAAATTCGTTTAATTTTGAGTCGATTCAATTCGGCCATGATTGATATAAATTGATTAAATTTTTTGCATCAAAAAATGAGACCGTTTCGTGTATCATTTCTAAAAATGATACACAAAACGATCTCTATTTGATATAACTTATGTGCATCAAAACGTTGCAATAGAAAAAGATACAACCAAGTTTACTGTGTATATATATAATATAGTGTACCATATTCGAACATCGAAAAAACGATATTCTATTATTAAGAATATGAAACTACTTTTAAATATAAAAGAGACTTAAAAAGGCGCTAAGAATATTCTCTTTTAAGAAAATATTAATAAAATATATTTATTACACTTATATTCTCATATCAAGAAGAATATTTTCTAAGAATAAAATATTCTTAATATTAAAATAACTTTAGAATATTATTAAGAATATTTTTAGAAGAATATAGTATTCTCAATATATATTAGCCAATCTCACGTGTAATATTACCTTGATATTGAGGTTATATTACGTGCTTCTTGGGTATACGTATAAATAAACAGTAAGTGATGTCTAGAACAATTCAAATAGTAAATATTAGTGGTTTCAAGCGAATACGACGGTTCATAGAAAACTGTCCAACCGTATCGGAACCGCCATTTCCAATTTTTGAAAAAGTAACATCATATTCGTAATCAGCGACCCCGAAAACCCCCGAGTAACAAGTATTAAGCAAATTATGTGGATTTTTAAAATTTTCGTCCGCCATAATGTATCCGCCATTTTGAATTTTCAAAAACTAACATCATATTCGTAATCAGCGACCCCGAAAACCCCCGAGTAACAAGTTTTAAGCAAATTGTGTGGATTTTTAAAATTTTTATCCGCCATATTGGATCCGCCATTTTGAATTTTCAAAAACTAACATCATTTTCGTAATCAGCGACCTCGAAAACCCCCGAGTAACAAGTTTCAGGCGATTCTCAAGATTTTTTAAAAAAGTCGTCCGCCATACTGGATCCGCCATTTTGAATTTTCAAAAACTAACATCATATTCGTAATCAGTGACCCCGAAAACCCCCGAGTAACAAATTTTAAGCGATTTTGGTTTATTTTTTAGATGTTACTTGACTGCATTTTAATTGTCGTGAATTATTGGAATTGCTTATTTAGGGGTAGTTTTTCATCCCTTTCCCTCAGGTTTGCAAGATTCTAATTACCATTTTCGGATTCAGCAGGGTTTAAACTATGGGAAACTACTCGTTTTTCATAATTCCCGCATGGGCAAATTTTGGTCATTTTTCAGCACCGTTCTTTGCCTAAAATAGCAAAATGTCCCACCCATAGCAAGCTTTCTGTGAAAGGTTGTTGTAAGCTTGCCATGAAAGATTACTACAAGATTTCAAAGAA